CATTATTAAGAATTTTACGAAAATTGCAATCATTATCAGTTACCCAGCGATATGGTCTACTATTAAAACAAATTGTTAACCATATTATAGTAAACATTTTTATTCATTTGATCATCCTTTTTATGTAATATCTTATTCAATTACACACAATTTTGGCAATTTCAATCTGCTAATCTTACAAGAGAAAGGATTAAGATCTTCATATCCCTCAATTAATGTACATGTACTTAATCGTATCAGCAATGTCCACCGTATCTCCCAATGACGTCATCCAAGGGCAACAACTTGAATACGGTCTTAAATGAAAGGGTCTATAATAAATAGTTGTATAAGTTTCAAATGAAAATACGGAAAATTGGCAACATTACCCATGAAATTTACTACTGAATGCAGTTATATGAATAGTGTTTTATTCTGTGCTTTAAAACAGCTAGGCAATATGACATTTTTATGTGTGTGATTTCTTTTAGAAGTCACTACATCTTACATAGGAAGTGCTCTTTTGCGAACTTACTGATTTCGTTAATTTACTTGAACAGACAATAACTTTGCAAATAAAATATTTAACCCGATTCATCAATTCTATAAAGGAACAGAATACAGTACAAATTGTACCAAAGCATGATTGTATAGAAAATATATTTACATCAATTTACAGTCTAGTTCACATCTTATTTATAATCTAATATAAAATAATGTACATCTTTAAACTGACATTATTCATATCCATTATTGTTAAGTAAATTAAAAGCCATCATCCGATGCAAAAGGTCTACTTAAATGAGGAGAGAAGAATATAAACAACACAAGTTTGCTTTTAAACAAAGATGTCCCATTTGTTTAGATATTAAAACAGTCTTATAACACAGTGTCTAATAACACAGTGTAAACAGTTAATTAAACAGTTTATTTATGCATTTAAGCAGCCTACTTTTCATCGAATACTAGTAATATTAACCTTGCTGCAGTTTTACGTGACACGCAGACATGTTATAAATCAAACGATTTATATAAAAAAATGATTACATTCAAAAACGAGTTGCTTCAAGACATTCCTTATGCTGATTTGTGTACTAATTGCCTGTCCTGGTAATCAAATTTTTGAAAGGAAATGAAAAAAACATGTAAAGATCACGCTTGGTGTAATACCTTAGGCCTAAAGAAGTTACGGATCATACGAGTAATCTATAAAACTGGTATGTGGTAAGAATAGTAGTTGTGTACAATTCATATTTTTTATTATATTTCAGAGAATTACCGCGTGGTTTAACCCGAAAGTAAAGAAAAACGAAAACATAACAATTTTTGTTTTCTTTAAAAGTGATTGAAAAGGCTTGAAAAAAAACCAGATACAATGCCTGCATGGTGTTTTTTTAGGTTTGGTCATATGTTTATGATTATAGTAAGCAAAAGTACATACCTAAATAAACTAAGATTTTTAAATGAAGATGTCGAAAAAGTTCCAGCTCACTATTATGTAGGTGAAAGAAGATATCAAATAATACATACACGATTAAGAACACATTGCAGCTCTCTGAAAGAACATGTTTTCAAAAAACATAATAGAAAGCCCTTTTTGTATATGTGGTGAAAAAGAAAATACAGAACACTATTTTCTCTGCTGCCCCATGTATGAAGATGATCGCACTGTCCTTATAAACAATTTAAGTCAAATCACAACTGTAACATTGAATACTTTACTATATGGCGATAATTCACTTACCGATGCTCAAAACGAAACAATTATCTCACATATACATAAATATATACAAAAACAAAAAGATTTGATACATAATAATATCCGTTTAAATAGAAAAAGGTCCTTCAACTCCATAGTAGTAAAGTGACTCTCTTTCTTTCTCTTGTTTCCTATCTCTCCTTCTTTTCTCTTATAACTTCTCCTTCAATGCGCATGTTTTAATCATTAAATTTTCTCAACATATTAGTTTAATAGACCAACCACTAAACTAAGCAATATATCCCTTTAAAAATGAATTCATACTCGTGCTTATACCTCTAATCTAACAGAAATGTATCTTGAATTTAGTTCATGAATACTTGACATAAACATAGTATGTATAGTAAGAAAGCAAGAACAAGTCGATATGATATGTATAGTTTAGTTTAGATATTTATATTTTGTAACCATTTATTTGAAATTTGTTAAATACTGATTACGGAGAGAGTTTTCAAAAAAGCTTTACAAGCTTCCTACTCAATCCGTAAATTTTATTTTATGTACTTTATTATGTAAATGTGTGAATTATAAATAAAATATTGTTTAAACTAAACTAAGATTTTTGATGTCTTACGTATGATATATGGGTTACATTTACATTTGTTAGTAATCACTGAGAATGACAGGTTATATCACCCAATAAAAAGGGCTGTAACCTGATAAAAACCAAACATTCATTAAAGCAGCATGTCTCCAGAAGTAATAATTATGATGAAAACGGCCACTTTCCAGAAATATAATTAGATAATTGTAGTCAATACATTAACAACTTACAGGGCGTGTGTTAGTGTAAAATATATTCTTTTAATCACCTAACAAAAATGTTAACGTCTGTAATTGATATACTGAAAGAATGATCCCCATAGTTTTAGATGAATGGGTAATTAACAAACTAGTTATTCTGGTGAAAGGTTTGGGAAATGGTAAAAGAAAATAAATGAAACCGATTTATTAGGTAAAACATTTATATAAAATGAAGAGGTTTACTTTTTTCCTGTTAACAATGTTAGTATTTCAAATGGAACATTATTTGATACCCAATCATGATATTGATAATACATTAAAAAATTATATCATGTTCTTTTTTTTAAGACAGTTGTATGTCAATTTAAAAAGGTGCTTCGGCGGCGAACAAGTTACATGCATGATGCATTGCAGTACATGAATCACATTAAGCCCCGACAGCAGTGACTTTAACTTTGTCGTGAAATGCGACATGTAAAATTGTAACCATATTACATGTCATTGTTCCTTTTTAGCTCACCTGTCACAAAGTGACAGAGTGATCTTTTGTGATCGCTTTTCGTCCGGCGTCCGTCCGTCGTCCGTCCGTCCGTCCGTAAATTTTTACTTTAAATGACATCTCCTCATAAACCACTAAGCCAATTTCATCCAAACTTCACAGGAATGTTCCTTTGGTGGTCACCTTTAAAAATTGTTCAAAGAATTTAATTCCATGCAGAACTCTGGTTGCCATGGCAACCGAAAGAAAAAAACTTTAAATATCTTCTTTTAAAAAACCCTAAGAGCTAGAGCTTAGATATTTGGCATGAAACATTTACTAGTGAGTGTCCACCAAGTTTGTTCAAATAAAAGCCCTGGGGTCAAAATTGGCCCCGCCCCAGGGTATCATTGATTTTCCCTATATGCATATAGTAAAAACTTAAAAATTCTTCTTTTAAAGAACCCAAAGAGCTAGAGCTAAGATATTTAGCATGAAACATCTTCTAATGAGTGTCTACCAAGTTTGTTCAAATAAAAGCCCTGGGGTCAAAATTGGCCCCGCCCCAGGGTGTCATTGATTTTCCCTATATGCATATAGTAAAAACTTAAAAAATCTTCTTTTAAAGAACTCAAAGAGCTTTAGCTAAGATATTTAGCATGAAGCATGTTCTTATTGGTGTCTACCAAGTTTGTTCAAATAAAAGCCCTGGGGTCAAAATTGGCCCCGCCCCAGGGGTCATTGATTTTCCATATATGTGTATAGCAAAAACTTAAAAAATCTTCTTTGAAAAAACCCAAATAGCTAGAGTTTAGATATAAAGCATGAAACATCTTCTAGTGAGTGTCTACAAAGTTTGTTCAAATAAAAGCCCTGGGGTCAAAATTGGCCCCGCGCCGGGGGTCATTGATTTTCCTTATATGTGTATAGCAAAAACTTAAAAATCTTCTTTGAAAAAACCCAAATAGCTAGAGTTTAGATATTAAGCATGAAACATCTTCAAGTAAGTGTCTACAAAGTTTGTTCAAATAAAAGCCCTGGGACCAAAACTGGCCCCGCCCAAGGGGTGTCATTGTTTTTAACTATATGTGTATAGTTAAAATTTAAAAAATCTTTTTGAAAAAAAAACCAATGAGCTAGAGCTTAGATGTTTAGCATGAAACATCTTCTTATGGGTGTCTACCAAGTTTGTTCAAATAAAAGCCCTTAGGTTAAAATTGGCCCTGCCGGGGGGGGGGCAGTATGGAGGCCTATATACAGGTGAGCGACCTCAGGGCCATCATGGCCCTCTTGTTTATTATTGGTGTTGTTTTATTTGTGCTTTTTAAGTTTTACAAAGCATGCATTAAGTTTTTCCTTGTCATTGTACTTCGTTTAAAAGTGAAATATAAAATCGTTAATTAATGTATCGTACTTGAGCAATGATTAGTGCACAATAACTTTACTTTCTCAAAAGTGCAAAGATAAGTGTTCTTTAGTTGTATCTTTCCTTTGAGTATGCCTGTCATTCTGACAATTGTCTGGAGGCATGTATAAAAGATTACAGGTAAAACAAGTAGTAATCTAAACATAAAAATGACTGTAACAGAAATTACCAGGCCATAAATACAAGACAAGGAAAATCCTTCCTAAACTCGGGTGTGTTTCATAATGTAAGGCTATAAAATGATCTTACGATTTTAAACGATATATTCTATAACGTAATGTTCTCTATCAATTTTCAGCAAGAAACCACATTTTTTTTTAAATTTAGCGTATTTTAATACACCTGTTAAAATCGATTAATTCTTGTGAATGATAAAGTTTTTATTTGAATCGAGTTGACCTCTGGTTATATCAGCTTATCTCGTTGGTCAACAGTTTATTTTTTAGATTTCTGATTGGATTAATTCAAATGTCTGTTATTGAATTTGATAGGTTGTTTAATTACCTATATATAGGTTATTTTGCTTTTGCTCGCCATTTCTGTTACTTATTTTGTAGTCGAGATCACGTTTTAGTCTTTTTTGGAAGTTTCGAAAACAGAATTTTTTTCGTTCATTTACATTTCGGCTTATTTATTTTCGGAACAAAATGTAGTTTTTTGTGAAAGGATTTTCGAATTTGAAACTGTTTTCTTTATTTGAAACAGTTTTTTGTATTTATTTTTGTAACTTTTGGTAACTTTTTGTTTGAACAAGTTTATTTTATACGTGTAAATTTAAAATGGCGGAGAAGAAATCAAGTAGAGTTACACTTCGACATGATTATGGTAAACTCAATTCTGAGGGTTTCGGATGGGAGCAGTCAGAAATCCCTTCGGACAATGAGGTTGTTGTTGTTGGTAATGGCGCGAAAGAGGGAGGTCACTCTTCAAGTACAGGAAGAAAACTCAGCCAAAGTGATGAAACACTTCTTTTGCTTGAAAATGAATACGAGTCTTTGGTGAGGGAAGAGGAAGAACTACAGAACGAGGCCAGGATAAATAAATTAAAGAAAAAGATAAGTCTCAAAAGAAAATCTTTAGCTGAACTCAGAGGTGAGAATTTAGATCTTTCTCCTGAATTGGCATCCTGTACGTTACAAGGTTTAAGAAAAAATAAGAATTTAAAATTGAAAGCAAAGAAAGAATTAAAGAAAGCTGGCTTGTTAGAATCTTCCTCAGATTCTGGGTCCGAAAGTTCTGAGTCTGAACAAAGCTACAAATTGAAAAAAGAAAAATCTGGTAAAAATCTAAATCGTATCATGATGATGGTTCTACAGATTCTGAACAAAGCTACAAATTGAAGAAGAAAAAATCTGGTAAAAAATCTAAATCGTATCATGATGATGGTTCTTCAGATTCTGATACTTCAGATTACAGTATTAAAAAAAGTTCATATTCCAAAAAGTCTGCTTTCCAATTAACATGAAATTCAATTTAAAATGTTTTTTTTAATAAAAACAAAGTTTCCACTTTAAATTTTTTTACAATTTAAAACCCAAAACAGAGCATGTTAAATTTTCAACAAAAATACCCTTCATGCCTTTTAAAGAAAATGACACTTTAAATTCAAGTTTTTTGTTTTTGAGCTTTAAAAAATAAAATCATTTTTTGGGGGGAAAATTTGGAAATCACCCCCCAATTTAAAACAACAAAAAAAAAAAAGGGAAAGAAAAATTAAGGAATTTGAAACTTTTAATTTTTTAAAAAATTCAAAAGGGAATTTCATTTTGAAATCTTTAAATATGAAAAGCTTTTTTGAAGAAATTGGGGTTTTGGGGAAAACAAAAAGGGTGGGGGGGGGGGAAACCTTTCTTTTAACTTTAGAATCCAGTGTTTTAGCCAGAGTTTCTTTGAAAAAATCAACAAATTTTTCGAAACGAATGAATTATAAAGTTAAAGAAGATGTTGTAGCTGACGAAAAAGTCTGGTTTTGTCCATTGTATCAGAAGAACAAATGTCTTCATAAATCTTCTCATTTAATGGTTGTAAAGGGAAGACAAAGATTAGCTTCACATATTTGGGGAACTTGCTGGTTGAAGGATAACAAGAAACTAGAACATCCTGAATGTTCTAGTGTTTGTCCACAAAGTCAAAAGTGACTTAGAACAGGCTTTTCAAGACTTTCTGAGATATGTAAAACAAATGAAAAATCTGTTGATATTTTTTTCCCGAAATTTTGTCAGGTTGAAATTGAAAAAATAATAGATGATCAGAAAACTGTTGCGGTAAATGTTCCTTTATGTAGTCATTCTAAAAAATGTAATATTTGTAAAGTCACAAAATCAGAGTTGAATGATATATCCTTTAATGGAGTTGATTTACATGAAAAAGTTAAAAGGTCAGGCTTGCCTATTTTTTTAGGTTGTCGTATTCCTGTAACCAATAAAATAAATGTTGAGTTCTGGAATAGAATGTTATCTGGTTATATAGATACTATGATTGTAGATTTATTATTATATGGTTTTCCTTTAGATTTTCATGGTGATGTTAATTCATTCACTCAAAAAGAATTATGGAAATATAAAAATCGTAAAGGTGCAAAGTTATATCCTTCTGATATTACAAATGTATTACAGGTTACTTAGGAAAAGAAAAATCTAATAGGTCAATCATTGGACCTTTTAAGTCTAATCCTTTTAGTGACTCCATGAAAATATCTCCTCTTAATTCAGTTCCCAAGAAAGATACATCTGAAAGAAGAGTTATTCTTGATTTAAGTTTTCCTAAAAATTTTGCTGTAAATGATTTTATTAGTAAAGATTTTTATTTAGGGGAAGATATTCATTTAGTATTTCCAAGAATTGATGATTTTATAAATTTGATAAAAGGAAAAGGTAAACATTGTTTGTTGTATAAATTAGATTTACGTAAAGCATATAGACAAATACATATATGTCCTGGTGATTATAATTTGGTGTGTTATCAATGGAAAAAAAAACATATTTTTTGTGATACTGTGTTATCAATGGGGTTGAGGAATGCTGCAGCCATTTGTCAAAGGGTTACTACTGCTATATCTTTTATGATGTTTCGTTTAGGAATGCCTATATTAAATTATTTAGATGATTTAGCAGGTGTTGAATCTAGTGATAAGGCACAGTTTGCCTTTCTTTTTTTAAGAAACATATTTCAGGAGGCAGGTTTAAAAGAATCCTTTGATAAAGCTTGTACACCCTCTGAAAATATGGTGTTTTTAGGAGTTTTGTTTAATACAAATTCCATGACTATGGAGGTTACTTGTGAAAGGTTAAATTAAATTAAAACTCTGATAATTTCATGGTTGCATAAGTCAAAATCTTCACTTAGAGAATTACAATCTCTTATTGGTAAACTTAATTTTGTGGCAGCCTGTGTTAGACCAGGTCGTATTTTTGTTAGTAGATTGTTAAATTGGTTAAGGTCTATTCATGATGCCAATCCACATCAGGAAAATGAGATTCCTGATTATGTTAAAAAAGATTTGCACTGGTGGAATAGGTTTTTACTTGTTTATAATGGTGTTTCCATTATGTTGTACGATGATTGGTCAAAGCCAGATGGTGTGTTTCAACCGATAGTTGTTTATCGGGCTGTGGTGGTTATTTCGATGGTTATTTTTTTCACACAGAATTTCCAGATTTTATCAAACAAAAACAGTTTGATATTGGCTTATTGGAGTTAATTGCTATTGTTGTTGCTCTTAAATTATGGGGCAATCATCTTAAAGGCAAGCGTATTGTTATCTTTTGTGATAATCAATCTGTTTGTCAAGTCTTGAATACTGGTAGATCTAGGTCTGAGTTATTTCAGAATGGTTTAAGAGAAGTTTGTTATATCTCTGCCATTATGAATGTGAAATTAAAACAGCCCATTTATCTAGTATTCAAAATAGGTTGGCAGACTCCCTTTCTAGATGGCATTTGAGTGATACTTTTCAAAAGGATTTTTGTTGTTGACAAGAGATGTTAGTACTCGAGAGTTTTCAGTGCCGGATGATTTATTTCATTTTATAAATGATTGGTAATTATTTGAATAGAATATTTTTTTCTTTTTCCTCTTTCTTTCAGAAAAAGAACTTAAAGAGTTAAAACACGACCTAAAAGTTACAAATTTGTCGGCTTATGCAGCTGGTTCTCAAACAAATTTGAGGATTCAATGGGAATCTTTTGTTTTGTTCTGTTTATATTTTCATTTTCATTTTTTGCCAGCTGATACTTACACTTTACAGTTATATGCTCAGTTTTTTAGTCGTTCTTTTAAATCTGTAGATAGTATTAGAAATTATCTGAGTGGAGTTAGATCAATGCATTTATTGTTATGATATTCATTAGATCATTTGAATCAGTTTGTTGTTTATTTGTCTTTAAAGGGTTTGACACGGATTAAACAACATTCGGTCAAACAAGCTGAAGCCATATCACCTCTGATTTAATGTCAGATTCATGGTATTTTAGATTTTGATAATTCTGATGATTCAGTTTTCTGGTGTTTATTTTTGTTTGCTTTTTTCTTGGTGGCTAGAAAGTCAAATTTAGTTCCTACTAGAAAGGCTGATTTGGAAGTTAAACATTTTTTATTACGTGGTGATGTGTCTACCATTGGGGAAAATCTTTGTGTTACTTTTAGATGGTCTAAAACTATACAATTTGGCCAACGCTTGTTACAAACTCCTATTATTAAATTGTATCCTTCTATTTTATGTCCTGTTACTGCATATAATCATATGCTTAAGGTTATTCCTACTAAAAGTGTAGATCAACCTTTATTTGTGTTAAATAATGATAAAGCAGTTACTTATTACATGTTTCAAAAGAGATTAAGATCTCTTCTCTCTGAATTGGGTTATGATTCTTCTAAATTTTCGTCACATTCCTTTCGTCGTGAGTTTGCTACATTTGCCTTTGCTTCTAACATTGCTGCTGATGAAATTCAGATTTTGGTCGATTGGCATTCAGATGTCTATAAACGTTATATATCCATTTCCGTACAAGATAAAATTAGTATTTTAAATTATGTTAGTGATAAGCTAATGTTTAAGTGAAACAAATATGTGTGTTAATCCTTGTGCTCTCTTTGTTTGGTACTCACTTTAATGTACTTGTGTTTAAGTTTTTTCATTTATACTTTTCTTTTCTTTTTTCTTCAGTTTCCCGTTTAAATCGTCTAAGAAATCCTAAAATCAAGAAATGTATCATCATTTCCGATTCCATTGCCAAACACGTTTCCGATATTTGGGACACTGATATTCGTGCTTTCCCTAGAATCACTATTTCACAGTTGACTTCAACACATCTGCGGATGTTTCAAAATTCTAAATTTTACCAGTTCATGTTAAATGTTGAATTCTGCTTAAGCCGGTGCTAGGGGGCGTGGACGGTAACTTGCACTTTCCAGTACCGTCCATGAACAGGCTCAATCAAACCGAGCCTGCAACATTTTCAATTTTGCCGTGCTGGGCTTTCTTTAGGGATTCTGTATTTATCTATTTCAAAGTTAGCCAAAGGAGCAATTAACTTGAATTATGATAATATCATTATTCATGTGGGTACAAATGACATTAATAGTTCATCTGCTGGAGAAATTTCTTCTTTGTATTCAAATTTAGTTTCAGTTGTTAAATACTTTACTGATCAATTTGATACTATTTATATGTCTTCTATTTTGCCTCGTCCAGTTGACCTTGTTTGTACTGGTGCGAAGGTCAAACAGGATAATTTGACTCTAGAATCAATTTGTAAAGATAGGAAAATCAAATTTTTGAAGTCTTTTCGTCCTTTCATTAAAGCCAACCTCCCTAAGAGAGGGTTGTTTGCTATTAAAGATGGTGGCTTACATTTGAACTTAGAGGGCACAAGACGGTTAAGACTTTTTTTATCAATACTGTTGCTCACATGTAATTATTAAGGTTGTGCCTTTCGCTCCAATTTAAGAGAGGAGCTTATGGATTATTCGTATCCATATATTCATTTCGTTTTGTATAATATTATCTGTACAAGCTGTAGATTGATTATACTATGGAAAGTGTGGGCATTAATATTTGAATTTTTTTAAGGGTGCTTATCTTGAATAAGATTCCCGTACTTCACTTCAGTGTTGTTATATTTTCTGGTCCTTCGGAATCATTGATGCCAACACTATAAAGTGTTGAGAATTGAGTACCGCTCAAGCCGGTGCTAGGGGGCGTGAGGGATGTTGCACTTATACATTATCCCTCATGTACAGACTCAATCAAACCGAGTCTGCAATTCTTATGTTATTTTGTTGTGATTAATGCTTCCGAGGGATCACTTTGTTTCCAGAATTTTATCAAGTAAGCTATCTTTCTTTACAAGGTAAAAATTAATACCTTGAAGAAAATATTTCTGGTGAAAATGGTATTTCACGTTTTCCTAGAAAAGTTTAGTTCTTTCTATGAATGATTGAGATTTCATATATTTGTATTTGCTACCTATTGTTTCTTTTTTATGAATTTATGAATTCAGCTGTATACTTTACAAAGTAATATTTCATACTTTGGAGTAATTCATTCTAGAGAAAATGGTATTTGACGTTTTCTTAGAATATGGACAATGAGTGATTTCTGTGTTATTTCTAGAGAAAATGGTATCTGACGTTTTCCTAGAAACAGAACAGTATTCAGTGAATTGTGTGTAAACTCGAATGAACACTGTTTTTTCTCAAATTGAATGTGTATTCGAGATTTATGGATTAATCATCGTAAGACAATTGACTGCTTTCAGTAGTTTATTTGGTGAACTTTTAGTGTTTTGTATGATTATTTTGAATAATCATATTTATTGTTGTATAGTATAATTATATATATGCATATAATTTTTTTTTTGTAATTATGTTTTAGGTCGGTGGGTTGGCGTTTTGGTAAATATTTATAATGATTAGAAGTTCTTTGTGGATTGATTAATATATCATTCTATAGTTTATTAGTGTTGACCAATTTTGCAGTTATCTAGTGATAATTCGTGATCATTTATTAACCTAATCAAATATTATTATTGATATTTCTGTCTTGGTTTTTTTTTCTCTTTTAAATTTAAAATGAACAATAATTTAGCGTATTTTAATACACCTGTTAAAATCGATTAATTCTTGTGAATGATAAAGTTTTTATTTGAATCGAGTTGACCTCTGGTTATATCAGCTTATCTCGTTGGTCAACGGTTTATTGTTTAGATTTCTGATTGGATTAATTCAAATATCTGTTATTGAATTTGATAGGTTGTTTAATTACCTATATATAGGTTATTTTGCTTTTGCTCGCCATTCTGTTACTTATTTTGTAGTCGAGATCACGTTCTAGTCTTTTTACCCACCCACCCTAGCCCATTTGGTTCAGCAATAAGTTTTTATTGCATTTTGTTATTTTAGTACTGCGTTTTGGTAAATATTTATAATGATTAGTAATTCTTTGTGGATTGATTAATATATCATTCTATAGTTTATTAGTGTTGACCAATTTTGCAGTTATCTAGTGATAATTCGTGATCATTTATTAACCTAATTAAATATTATTATTGATATTTCTGTCTTGGTTTTTCTCTTTTAAATTTTAAATGAACAATAATTAGAGCTAATTATGAGGTAGTTCTAAAGCTCTGGCGCTTCTTTAATTGAAGAGATAAATAAAACATTTACGTTAAGGTCGTTCTAGACACATAGATAGTGAAGGATTTAATATTTAAAATGGATTACCATAAAAATATATACAGATAACCTTGACTATATACCAGAGATTGATGATATCCCAGAACGAGATGTTTTAGAGTTTACTCTTAACAGCTACGGTAATGTTTTAACTGTAGTGATTGGTTAGTAGATATAAATTATTGCATTTAAAATGGAAGAAATTCTATTAACAATGATTTTACGTTAATTGGTAAAGAAAGCCCAACACGTCATAATTGAAAATGTTGCAGGTTCGGTTTGATTGAGCCTGTTCATGGACGGTACTGTCGAGTGCAAACTAACGACCTCGCCCCCTAGCACCTGCTTTAGCAGAATTCAACATTTAAATATGAAATGGTAAAATTTGGAATTTAGAAACATTCGCAGATGTGTTCATACGGCGGTTATCATGGAACCTTCAATGTGACACAGTAGTGCCATTCCATGAAAAGCGGCGTATGGTCCCCAAGTAATAAAAAGTGTGTGCCCTAAACGAGAAAACAATGGGCGGAACTAAACAAAATGGAATTTTGAAAGGGGATCAGAGCCTGATCATTCATTTTTGCGGTGGTAACTGTCATTAAACATTAGTAGTGAATCATATGATGATGTTCGTATGGATAAAAGCATTACGTTAAATAAAATTATCTATGATACATAGAATGTCCCTGATGATTTTTTATCAGGAAATGTTGTACAAAAGTTAAATGAAGTGGTTATTTCTTTAAACGATATAAATGATTCTCAAACAAAACTTGATTAAGCTTATGGAAATCTAGTTGAAATATAAAATGCAGAAATGACAGAGGAGTTACAACATAAATGTGTTAAATTCACCACATCCAGGCACACAAATAAAAAATTACGAACCAGTTAACCGTGATGGGCTAATGAATTGTCTCTTTTGTGGTCTGATATGGCTAAATCTGAAAAATGATGGTTGAAATCTATTTCACATGAAAAGAAAAAAATAAAACAACAATATGTTGAAAAGACAAGGCTTTTTGACCGTTGTGTCCAATCGACTATGAGAAGCTATGTATCTCAGTCCCAAAATAACATTGATGATCTTATTGATAAGAACCCAAATGATTTTTGGAAAGATAGGAATTGGAAATGACAACATGAATAAGATACCTTTTGAAGTAGTTAGGCCTGGTGGTTCCATTAGCAAAAATGCAAGTCAAGTATTAGATAAATAGACACATGACTTTTCTGGTCTCTTAACAACAAATGATGAAAATGACTCCTCTTATGTAATGTCATTGATAGACGCCAATCTCAACGGGATGGATGTTGATGACGAGAATATATCAATTGCAAAAACTTATAAAGCAATTTTACGAGCTTTATCGGGTAAAGCGCCAGGTTTTGACAATATACCTGCAGAGCTTTTAAGAAATAATTCGCTTGTAAATGTTTACAATTACTGTTATAAGACAGGAAAGGTACCATCTGCCTGGTCCAAAGGAATTATGACACCAGTTTCAAAATCATCAACATCTGACCCTAGATATTCTCTATCATACAGAGGTATCACTTTAGTTCCTTCCATTTATAAAATTTACTGTAGTGTATTAAATGAACGTATCAGTTAATGGTGTATTCCTGATGAGTAGAATGGGTTAAAGCACAATTGACCATGCATGTACAAACATTAACCAATATTATCAAACAAGAAAACGTTTTAAAAACAGAACATTTACAGCATTTATAGATTTTAGAAAAGCATTTGATTTTACCCCAAGACCTTTGTTGTGAACGAAAATAGAAAAATGTGGACTACAAGGTAAACATTTTCATGAGGTTATGTCGCTTTATAAAGATGTAAAATGTTGCATAAAATAGATAAATACAGAATCCCTAAAGAAAGCCCAACACGGCAAAATTGAAAATGTTGCAGGCTCGGTTTGATTGAGCCTGTTCATGGACGGTACTGGAAAGTGCAAGTTACCGTCCACACCCCCTAGCACCGGCTTAAGCAGAATTCAACATTTAAACATGAAATAGTAAAATTTTGAATTTAGAAACATCCGCAGATGTGTTCAATACGGCGGTAATCATGGAACCTTCAATGTGACACAGTAGTGCCATTCCATGAAAAGCGGCGTATGGTCCCCAAGTAATACAAAGCGTGTGCCCTAAACGAGAAGACTAAATGGGTTTGATTCTCGTTGGTTTGAAGTCAAATGTGATTTTAAACAAGGCTGTCCTTTGTCGCCAATTTTATTTAATTTTTATATCAATGACTTAGTTACGGTTATTAAAGAATCAGGTATAGGAGTTAAGTCAATGATGATATCAGTATTTTACTATATGCAGACGATGTTGTGCTAATTGCTGAATCTGCTAGGGATTTACAAAGTTTGCTTGACATTCTCAGTGTCTGGTGTATTAATAATAAAATGAGTGTGAACGGTGATAAGTCAAATGTAGTTCATTTTAGAACAAATAGTTGTGTCTTAACAAATCATGTTTTTAGTATAGTTTCGACAATGATACCTGTTGCACATAGTTATAAGTATCTTGGCGTTATTTTAAATGAATTTTTGAATTTTGCTGAAATTGCTAAGAATGTAGCTCTCTCTGCAGGAAGAGCACTTAGTCTTATTATTTTCAA